TGCCCATTTTACCACCTTTCTTGCTTAATGGTTGTTAAGGGAATCACTTCAGGTTGATCAGTTAGTAACCCAGTTGGTTGAGTGAATCTGGCTTCCACACTGACTTTGACAAGTGGTTGTCCTGCACCCCACTCCATTCTAGCACTGATGATGTTACCTAGTTGGGAAATGAGATGTCTGCCAGAACACAACCAAGCTCAGAGAGCACTAAGGATCCCAGTTTTCTTCCTCCTCCTCCTCTTCCTCCTCCTCTTCCTCTCCACAAATCCCACTCCATTCTAGCACTGAGGTTGTTACTAGCTGGGAAATGAGATGCCTGCCAAAAACATCCAAGCTCAGAGAGCACCAAGGACCCCAGTCTTCCTCCTCCTCCTCCTCCTCCTCCTCCTCCTCCTCCTCCTCCTCCTCCACCTCCTCCTCTCCACAAATCCCACTCCATTCTAGCACTGATGATATTACCTAGCTGGGAAATAAGATGTATGCCAGAAAACATCCAAGCTCAGACATCACCAAGGACCCCCGTCTTCCTCTTCCTCCTCCTCTCCCCCCCCACTCCCACAAATCCCACTCCATTCTAGCACTGATGATGTTACCTAAGAAATGAGATGCCTATCAAAAACCAACCAAAACAGCTCAAAGCAATGAATGCATGCATGCATATATTTTTTTTTTAAATTTCTGAAGCCTGCAGAGATTTGTTGTGTTCAATCCACTTCCACAAATTTTACTTTATTTTAGAATTTTATCATTCTAGACGGTCCATCTTATGGTTCCGAATTCGGGTTGTTTTCTTTCCTTCACAGGCCTCTCCTTAAAGAGAGCGAAACTTCGCTCGACGGGCTTCAGAAAGACGACGACACAGTACGTAAGACTGTGTTGTGTTGTGGGTTGTTTGTTTAAAAAGGAATCTCTTTCTCTATTAATAGGACGTAGGAGAAGCTCAGATCATATTTTAGGTTCACGCCACAGTCCTGGGGGATTAGGTGTAGTTTTTGAAGCGTTCGAGCTGTCAGTCTGCAGAAATCTCGTGGGCGGCTGTTTTTCCTGGGTCTAAAATCCTCCAAAATATTAAATATAACTCCGCAACTCTATTTGAGCGTGTGAAGAGAACGAAAAAAGAGAAGGATAACAGGAAACATTTTGCTTATTGCCAGCTGTGTAGAAAGCGGCAAAACAGATCAGTTCAGATAGAACATAGAATAACAGGGTTGGAAGGGACCTTGGAGGTCTTCTAGTCCAACCCCCTGCTCAAACAGGAGACCCTGCATCTTTCCAGAGAAATGGCTGTTCAGTCTCTTCTTTAAAAACTCCCTTCCAACCCTATTATTCTATGTTGTGTGAGAGAAAAGTTATTTCTCAATTGCTGTGCTTATTAATGGCTTTTGGAATGGACAAGTGGGTGAGCCAATCAGAAGGCAGCTGATGGGTTTGAATTTCCAGGGCTTTTATGTTCCCTCCCCTAACTGTCACAGTTGACAGTATAAAAGGAGATTCTTGACAGAAAATCGGGCTCTTCTGTTAGAAAACTGTGGGCAGTTTTGAAGTCAGTTAGAAGGGCAGTTCTGATGCAGTTCTGATGGTTTACAATACTATTTCTTCTGAGAAAGAATAGCCAGAACTAACATCGCTTAGAGCGAATATATATAAAATAGAATTAGAAGATCAAGGCATATACGAAATCCCATGTGCTTCCTGCCCCTCAATATATATTCGACAGACCAACAGAAGAATGAGTGTGCGCATCGAGGAACATAAAAATTCAGTACAAAAGAAAGAACACACATCATCATTAGTACAACACATAAATGCCACAGGACATAATATTAATTTTAATAACACAAAAACAGTTGCAAAAATAGAACATCTCAATGGCAGAATAATCAGAGAGGCCATTGAAATAGAGAAAAGACCATATTGTATGAATAAACGTGATGACACCTCCCGTCTGCCTACTATTTGGAAACCTGCTCTCATAGACAGACGAATCTTAACACAAAATCTAAACCATAGATCAAAGATTCATCATAATGCCTGTGTTGCCACCATTTCCAGCATAACTTATCCATTAACCCACAACCAAGCATCAGCACTTCCACCCAATCAAAATACAGTTACGTCATCAGCCAATCAGAATACAACAACACTGTTGACCAATCAGAATACACCTTTGCCTCTTTTCATAGAAAAACGTCAGTTACGTTCACACAGTTTGCCCATAAGCACCAAACTGAGAACTTCAGCCAGAAGATGACGAATGTGATTTCGTCGAAACGTCGCTACTACCCTTTTAAGGATATGTTTACAATTACACGGGAAGAAACCCGAGATATTAACTGTACACACATATATACCCATGAAAACTTACATATATATATGTATTCGCATCTCAGATATTCCTGAGATGCGAATACCAACATTTTCAACCAACATTGAAAAAGACACATTGTACCTTTACAGGGGGAATATCTGAGAAGTGGGTGTGGCTCACTGACGACGCCTTAAAAGGCAGAAATAGCTATCTGAGTCTCCCAGAGAGCAACACAGAGTTGCAGTTTGTCAACAGAAAAAAAAAAAAAAAGCCCAGAAGCTTGTGAATGAGATTTCACAGAACCAGGGCTGCAGAACAACCTAGTTTACGTAGGTAAAACCTGGCTAGAAAGAATATGCACATAAAAGCCTACGAAAAAGAAAAAGACATATGTGTGTGTGTGTGTGTGTGTGTGTGTGTGTGTGTGTGTGTTTGGTTATTTGGGTTTTCTCCCGCGTAAAATTGGAAGTGTCTTGGCGACGTTTCGACGAAGTCTCATTCATCATCTTCAGGCTGTTGTTTTCGGCTTCATGCTTCTAGGAGCAATGTGTGATTGCAGCTGTTTCTTCCTTTTAACTGCCAGAGGGGGTGTGAACTGTTTGGGTGGGAGCTTGGCTGTGTTCTGATTGGGTGGAGGTGTGTTCTGATTGGTTGGGGGCTTGGCTGTGCTCTGATTGGATGGGGGTGTGTTCTGTTTGGGTGGGGGCTTGGTTGTGCTCGGGTTAGTCCGAGTTGCCTACAAGAATCCAAAGAATAAATAATCGTAATCTTACTAGGGTTGGCAGAAAGCCCAGAAGCAATTTGAGGAGAACTAAGATCAAGACGTGAAGGAGAGTGAATGAAGTTGTTCTCTGCAAATTGCCTCAGTCGTCATCCTTCCTTAAATAGGCTAAGGTAGTGGCCAAATAGCCCCAAGCCTTACTCTAAAGGAGACCTCCTCTTGAGGAGCCACTCCTGCCTTTTGGCAGCTCTGCATGCCCGTGCATTGAGAAGAGGCTCCTCCTCTTCCTCCTCTTCACCTAAGGGAGCTTCTGGAGGTTCTGAAGGCCCTGGCTGAATCCCCGCCTCTGGCACCACATCTTCTCCAGCCTCCCCATTGTCCGACTCAAGTGCCAGCTGCACAGGCTGCTGGCGCAGCACCACACCAGCCTCCTCGCTGTCGGAATCATCTACTAGCTGCACAGGCCGCTGACGGGCCATAACAGCTCTGGACTCTGATATTTGGGATATTGTGAAAAGCAAAGCACAAACAAAAATACCCTAAAATTTCCATGAAAGAAAATTGTCTCCTGCTACTCTGAAAAGAACTAAAATACCAATTTTGGTAGTCAATAGTAGCATACCAAGAAAAGTCATTGCCCATTTAAAATTAATTTATCAGTCATTTCCTTTCTATAGGAATTATAGCACTCATGTCTACCGGGAAGCCTTTCATTCAATTGCGAATATTAATTTGGAAAGCTGTGATACATTAACACGTTTACATGTTACACGCCTTCAGGATGTAGAGCAATTATCACAGTTCAGATCGCAAATCAGGAACAGATGTTACTTCTCAAATTACAGTATGGTACAGGAGAAAGTTACTTTTTTTAAAAAAACCTGTATCAGGTTACTAATTTAACTAATTTACTAATTTTAGACGCATTGTTCAACTTACCAAATGGAGATTCTATGGAGATTCTCAGTCATCCTGGTCATAATTGTCCCAAAAGGGCTTTTTTTTAAAGAGGCAACTGGACTTTCTGGTTTTTCTTTGAAGACGTTTCGATTCTCATCCAAGAAGCTTCTTCAGCTTCTAAGAGCTGAAGAAGCTCAGTCCTTGAGAGCTTTCTCTCTCTCTGGGCACAATGAGAATACAGTATATCTGCCGAACAAAACTTCTCATTGGCGATAGGAAAGGCATCTGGCCAGTAAACACTCAGCTCCATTCAGTTGCCCAAACTCCACCCCGCAAGGGATTGTGCAGTCGTTAAAAGATGATGAAATACATACATAAATACCTGCACCACACAAACACACACACAGAGTCCTATACCAGGGTAAAGGTAGATGTTAGTTAAAGTGGGGATGCCACAATGTTGTAAGTATGAAAAGAAGTCGTAAGTCACTTTTTTCAGTCTCGTTGCTACTTTGAACCGTCACTAAATGAACTTCTGTAAGTCGAGGACTACCTGTACAGATGGAGAAGACCTTACAAAAATGACTGACTTAACTTTTCTTTGTCTTTTGGGGCACATCGTCTAAGTTAGGGGCACGTTTAAGATCAGTGGCTGGGGAATTCTGGAAGTTGGAAATCCACAAGTCTTAAAAGTTGCCCTAGTTTGCTAGATCCCATCGCAGGGGTGAAATCCAGCAGGTTCTGACAGGTTCGGGAGAACCGGTAGCGGAAATTTTGAGCAGTTCGGAGAACCGGTAGCGGAAATTTTGAGTAGTTTGGAGAACCGGCAAATACCACGTCTGGCTGGTCCCAGAGTGGGGTGGGAATGGAGATTTTGCAGTATCCTTCCCCTAGAGTGGGGTGGGAATGGAGATTTTGCAGTATCCTTCCCCTGCCATGCCCATCAAGCCACGCCCACCATGCCCACCAAGCCACGCCCACAGAACCAGTAGTAAAAAAAAAATCGGATTTCACCACTGCTCCATTGCTCATCTCCTCTAGCTTTACTCCAACCCCAAAATACTCACTGACCTTGGTTTGATCGTCGGCTTTGAAAACGTAGCAGATACTCGGCTGATGTGGGGCGCCGTCTCTGATCAGGCAGGCGAAGTAACTAGGATCGTGGCTGTTGTGTATCAGTTTGTGGACATCTTGAGGCCGACACTCAAAGAGGCTGGAACAAATCAAAGGATCCCACTGCTGATTTTTCCCCGAGTCCGCTTCACACCGTATCCTGGCGGGTGAGACGTAGATCCGAATTCGGCTAGCGTCAAGGTCTTCCTTCGGCGGCTGAATGCTGAGCTGTCGGATCTGGGCCACGATCCAAGGAAGCATGGGCATCGTGGTTAAAGAATGGACAGGCAAGGAACCGATCAGCTGAAGGCGGAAATCAACCGAACCATCATTGGAGGCCTCTGGATTTTTCACGCTGAACGACAAAGGTTCCATTTTTTTAAAAAACGGGAAAGGTGGTACCTCAACTCAATCGGTTGGCCAGTCTTGAAATTCTAAAACGGAAACAAAAAATTATTAGCAGCTGATGTAGTTACTCCTATCCGTTCCAAGCATCGCGCCAATAATGACACTAAGCAGCCCTCCTTCAATTTTTCATTTTGTTTATGCAATGCTATTTATGTTAATCCCCATAATCCAGGGGTGAAATTCAGCAGGTTCTGACAGGTTCTGGCAAACCGGCAGCAGAAATTTTGAGTAGTTCAGAGAACTGGCAAATACCACCTCTGGCTGGCCCCAGAGTGGAGTGGGAATGGAGATTTTGCAATATCCTTCCCCTGGAGTGGGGTAGGAATGGAGATTTTGCAGTATTCTTCCCCTGGAGTGGGGTGAGAATGGAGATTTTGCAGTATTTTTCTCCTGGAGTGGGGTGGGAATGGAAATTTTGCAGTATCCTTCCCCTGGAGTGGGGTGGGAACAGGGATTTTGCAATATCCTTCCTCCAGGAGTGGGGTAGGAATGGAGATTTTGCAGTATCCTTCCCCTGGAGTGGGGTGAGAACGGGGATTTTGCAATATCCTTCCCCCAGGAGTGGGGTAGGAATGGAGATTTTGCAGTATCTTTCCCCTGCAGTGGGGTAGAAATGGAGATTTTGCAGTATCCTTCCCCTACAGTGGGGTGGGAATGGAGATTTTGCAGTATCCTTCCCATGGAGTGGTGTGGGAATGGAGATTTTGCAGTATCCTTCCCGTGCCACATCCACTAAGCCACGCCCACCATGCCACACCATGCCCGCCCAGCCACGCCCACAGAACTGGTAATAAAAAAAAACTGAATTCCACTGCTACCATAATCCCTTGCGGGGTGGAATCTGGGCAACTGAATGGAGTTGAGTTTTACTGGCCAGATGCCCTTCCTGTCACCAATGCAGAGTTTTGTTCGGCAGATATATTCTCAGCGTGGCCAGAGAGAGAACTATCTGCCTCTATCTAATCGCAGATTGTGAGGCGAGAGCTCACAACCCTAGGCCACTGCACCACACTTTCGTAACTAAATTAAGTGATGGTCATTAAACGACGGTCACTAAATGAATCGCTATAAATTCAAGAACGACGTGTAGTTATAACTTCAAAGAAAGCAGATCAAGGATTTATCTCCGGCAATGTTTTGAAAGAAGCCATTCCTGGGATCACACCGTCCTTCTGGAATTCTTTCTCTCATGCCAGCCGTTGCAGGGGTCAGATTACTGGATGTCAAAGGGATCTTTTTTCTCAACAGATCCCTAGACAGGACAGGGAACATCACGCACAAATGCACAACTTTTGCACAGAGGTGTGGGTGTGTGCCCTCTTCGTTCAGGAACTTGTTGCTAGAACAGTTAATTTTTTTTAAAAAAAATGGATAAAATAATTAATTAATTATTTTTGTAAATAATTAATGCATTTAAATTTTTTATTTATTTATTTTTTGCAATTAAAACCAGAATTGTTCTTATTAAGCATTGTCACGGGAAATTATGATAAGAAAACACAATGCTTAATATGACATATTATAACCGCTGCCAGAATAGTGTATGCGCAAAACTGGAAAAAGAAGAATATTATACCATCAGCGAAAGTTGTGATAAGAAAAGTGTTAGGGATGGATAAACTAACAAAAGAAATGAAAGATAAAGGAGAAACAGACTATTATCTGGTATGGAATGAATGATATAAATGGCTAGGGCAGGGGTCAGCAACCTGCAGCTCTGGAGCCGCATGTGGCTCTTTCACCTCTCTGCTGTGGCTCCGTCACTCAAAATATGCGTCACAACCACCAATGTGCGACACCCACCGGCACGCGATTTATTGAGCTTTTCAACCCCTGGTAGGCCAGCCATGGATAAATCCAAGAAAAGAAAAGTTTCAGAAGAAAACAGAAAGTTTAATTCAACTACATCGGCTAGTTTTGTGGCTGCTCAAGAAATAGACAGGCGAGGGAAGGGTTTTGTGGCTCCCGGTGTTTTCTTTTCTGTGGGAAACGGGTCCAAATGGCTCTCTTTTTTTTTCCCCATATTTTTTATTATTAAAAAAAAATTAACATACATAACATCCATGAATCATAATATATAATATATAACAATATACACAATACAAACAATCAACGAGTGCTCCCCCACTCCTCGGGATCATTCCTGCATCCAAAATCTTAAAGCTTCTTTTGGTGGTGGTATCCCCCTTCCTCCCGAAAACACAAATATTAGGAACTGTTTCCAGATTCCCTGGAATTCATTTACTTTCATAATGGCTCTTTTGAGTGTTTAAGGTTACAGAGCCCTGGCCTAGACGAAAGGTGCAAAAGCTATAGAAAACAACAAAGAAAGAAGATCTAGGAGTTAGAAAATAGTAGTAAATCTGTACAAATATATATGACTTAAAATGTATGTTTATGAATTACTTTATAAATATGTTAACTATGTATAAAGGAGAAAGGAACCATGTGTCTAGACATATAGATGTAAAGGAGAAAAACAGATATATAGCGGATGTATACCGACGCGGAAATGTTGCAAAGAAGAAAATGGTTAAAAACTTTTAAAACTGTTTAATAAAAATATTTTTTTTAATATTTTTTTAGAAATTCATTTTTTAAATGCATTTTTTTTAAAAAAAAATTCATTTCAAAAAAAAAAAATCAACACAGAAAACCTCTACCAGGGAAGAACCTCATAATAAAAACTCTATTGAAGTCTCATTCAAAATGTGGTTTGCGATGACACGAATTGCTATCATCCTATCTAGATCCGTTCCAGTCGGGTTTCAGGTCTGGGTACAGCACGGAAACGGCATTGGTCGCGTTGGTTGATGATCTCTGGAGGGCTCGGGACAGGGGTTGTTCCTCTGTTCTGGTCCTATTAGATCTCTCAGCGGCTTTTGATACCATCGACCATGGTATCATGCTGCACCGGCTGGAAGAGTTGGGGGTGGGAGGCACCGTGTTGCGGTGGTTCTCCTCCTTTCTCTCCGACCGGTCACAGTTTGTGTTGGCAGGGGGGCAGAGGTCGACCTCGAGGCCTCTCATTTGTGGAGTGCCGCAGGGATCGGTCCTCTCGCCCCTTCTGTTCAACATTTATGTGAAGCCGCTGGGCGAGATCATCCGTGGCTTTGGGGTGAGATACCACCAGTACGCTGATGACACCCAGCTGTACATTTCCACCCCAGGCCACCCCAACGATGCCCTTGAAGTGATGTCCCAGTGCCTGGAGGCTGTGCGGATCTGGATGGGGAGGAACAGGCTCAGGCTCAACCCTTCCAAGACTGAGTGGCTGTGGCTCCCGGCATCCCGATATAGTCAGTTGACTCCATCACTGACTATTGGGGGCGAGTCTTTGGCCCCCACTGAAAGGGCTCGCAATCTGGGAGTCCTCCTGGATAGGCAGCTGTCTTTGGAGGAACATCTGACGGCTGTTACCAGGGGGACCTTTTATCAGGTTCGCCTGATTCGCCAGTTGCGGCCCTTTCTTGATCGGGATTCCTTGTGCACAGTCACTCACGCCCTCGTTACCTCTCGCCTTGACTACTGCAACGCTCTCTACATGGGGCTCCCCTTGAAGAGCACCCGGAGGCTCCAGCTGGTCCAGAATGCAGCAGCGCGGTAGTGATGGGAGCAACATGGCGCTCCCATGTAACACCGCTCCTGCGCGAGCTGCACTGGCTCCCGGTGGTCTTCCGGGTGCGCTTCAAGGTGTTGGTTATCACCTTTAAAGCGCTCCATGGCATAGGGCCTAGCTATCTCCGAGACCGCCTGCTGCTACCGACGACCTCCCATCGACCCGTGCGCTCCCACAGAGAGGGCCTCCTCAGGGTGCCATCAGCCAAACAATGTAGGCTGGTGGCCCCCAGGGGGAGGGCCTTCTCTGTGGGGGCTCCCACCCTCTGGAATCAGTTGCCCCCGGAGATAAGAAGAATCCAGGACCTCAATGCCTTCCGTCGTTCCCTGAAAACCCATCTTTTTCAACAAGCCGGGTTGGCCTAAGACGAAATTTTTAAAATTTTAAAATTTTTAAATTCTTTTAATTAGTCTGTGATTCTTAACTTTCGGGCCAAAATTTATATATATTTTTAAATGTTTTAATATTTGTATCCTATGTTTTTTATCTTGGCTGTACACCGCCCTGAGTCCTCAGGGAGAAGGGCGGTATATAAATTGAAATTAAATTAAATTAAATTAAAATTAAAATGTTCATCGATTACGAAAGGGCGACCTTTCTATCCAAAAAACGAAAGGAAAAGTTTCTCCTCCATTTCCAAAAAAAAAAAAAAAAAAACCCACCAAAAAGTTGTTTGTTTGTTTTTTTAAATTAAACATAAAAAAATTCAATGTAAACAGTGTGTTGTCTGGGTACAGCTGATTTTGAGAAATGCAATCATATGAAATGAAAATAAATTTAAAAAAAAAACTTTTCGAGCTTCAAACAACTCAACTGCATCTCTTTCCCAAGAAGTTGTGAATGCTCCAACACTGGAAGTTTTTCAGAAGATGTTGGATAGCCATTTGTCTGAAGTGGTGTAGGGTTTCCTGCCTAAGCAGGGGGCTGGACTAGAAGACCTCTAAGGTCCCTTCCAACTCTGTTTCTATTCTATTCTACTCTACTCTACTCTACTCTACTCTACTCTACTCTACTCTACTCTACTCTACTCTACTCTATTCTATTCTATTCTATTCTATTCTTCTACTCCGTTCCATTCCGTTCCATTCCATTCCATTATTCTCTTCTCTTCTCTTCTCTTCTCTTCTCTTCTCTTCTCTTCTCTTCTCTTCAAGCAGGTCTTGAGAAAACTTTTTCAGGGTGCGGGCTAAATCACACGTGCAAAGAATCCTCAACGCTTTGCAAAAAAAAAAAAAAAAAAAAGCTCAAAGCGAGAAAAAATTAATGCGTTTATTAGGCCTTTATTAACTTCTCCCAACTGAAATGTCCATTCTCCGTCTTCAAGGCAAGGAAGACTCCAAGAAGAAGGCCTTTAGGGACACCCAACCGAAGGGTATAATAATAATAATAATAATAATAATAATAATAATAATAATAATAATAGAGTGGAGTGGAGTGGAGTGGAGTGGAGTGGAATAGAATAGAATAGAATAGAATAGAATAGAATAGAATAGAATAGAATAGAATGGAATGGAATGGAATGGAATGGAATGGAATGGAATGGAATGGAATGGAATGGAATGGAATAGAATAGAATAGAATAGAATAGAATAGAATAGAATAGAATAGAATAGACTATTGGAATGGAGTGGAGTGGAGTGGAATAGAATAGAATAGAATAGAATAGAATAGAATAGAATAGAATAGAATAGAATAGAATATTGGAATGGAGTGGAGTGGAGTGGAGTGGAGTAGAATAGAATAGAATAGAATAGAATAGAATAGAATAGAATAGAATAGAATAGAATAGAATAGAATAGACTATTGGAATGGAGTGGAGTGGAGTGGAGTGGAGTAGAATAGAATACTTCTATATGTATTTGTATTTATTATGGCTGTTCACTGCCCTGAGTCCTTCGGGAGTAGGGCGGTATACAAATATGAAAAATAAATAAATAAAATAAATAGAATAGAATAGAATAGAATAGAATAGAATAGAATAGAATAGAATAGAATAGAATAGAATAGAATAGAATAGAATAGAATAGAATAGAATAGAATATTGGAGTGGAGTGGAGTGGAGTGGAGTGGAGTGGAGTGGAGTGGAGTGGAGTGGAGTGGAGTAGAGTAGAGTAGAGTAGAGTAGAGTAGAGTAGAGTAGAGTAGAGTAGAGTAGAGTAGAGTAGAATAGAATAGAATAGAATAGAATATTGGAGTGGAGTGGAGTGGAGTGGAGTGGAGTGGAGTGGAGTGGAGTGGAGTGGAGTGGAGTAGAGTAGAGTAGAGTAGAGTAGAGTAGAGTAGAGTAGAGTATAGAGTAGAGTAGAGTAGAGTAGAGTAGAGTAGAGTAGAGTAGAGTAGAACAGAACAGAACAGAACAGAACAGAACAGAACAGAACAGAACAGAATTCTTCATTGGCCAAGTGTGATTGGACCCACAAGGAATTGGTCTCGCTGCATCCGCTCTCAGTGCACATAAAAGAAAAGCTACCTTCCTCGAGAATCATAACAACAAATAGCAACAAATAACAACCCCAAAAAGCCCCTTTGAAGCAGCCCAACTTTTCCAAGCTGGCCAAGACAGCACCGTAACTTGCTCCCCGGTATTTCTCCTAGTTAGTAGAAGTCCCACTTTCACTTTTCTGACTTTCTCTAACTTTCTTTTTCTCTCCGCTCTTCCCTTCCAGACGAGACCCCGGGGCTGCTCCTTGCAAACTGGGACGGACACAGCCTCAACTTTAAGGGGACGGGAGGGGGGGGGAGGATTTGCACCCGTGGGTCCCCCCCCCACCTTTCCCCCTTTGCTAAAAAAGCCAAGCCTAGCGACCCTTACCCCAATTCTCCCCGGGGTTCGCGTGAAGCCGCTTGCAAAGGAGGAGGAGGAGGAGGAGGAAGGCAGAAGTCCGTCTCGACGGCTGGTTGCAAGAAGAGGCGAAGGGAAAGTCGGCTCTGAGCCCTCCGCCCTCTAGCCTTTGAGGTTAGAGACCCCGTTTAAGGACCGAGCGCCCTCCCGGGACATCGCCTGAGCCGAGAACGGGGGAATCCCGCACCGCCTTACCTGCTCTGGCTTGCCGGCTCCTCTGCCTTCCTTCCTTCCTTCCTCCCCTCCTGGGGGAGGAGCCCAAAGGCGAGGGGAGGGGCAAGGCATGAGCTCGCTTGGAGGGGGTGGGTGGGAGAGGGAGGGGTAAAAATAGAAAGGGTCCGGAGCGCTTGGGCAGGGAGGGGAGGGCAGGGCAGGGCAGGGGGTGGGTCCCCCCCGGCTGGTCTGTGAGCTTGGTGCTTTCCTGGCAGACGTTTGGTGACCCAGCTTGGTTACATCATCAGCGATAGAAGGATAACAGCAACAGGGTTGGAAGGGACCTTGGAGGTCATCTAGTCCAACCCCCTGCTCACCCAGGAGGAGGAGGAGGAGGAGGAGGAGGAGGAGGGGGAAGAAGAAGAAGAAGAAGAAG